GAATTTTTACGTAAAGGTACCAATAACATTGTTTTTGTAAACCACTCCTCAATACTTGTTAAAAAAGGCTAATTCTGAATTTCAATGAGTTTAAGTAAAATGAAATATGCCCATGTGATTTTCATCTGTTTTTGATACGTGCTTTCAGCCCTCACTACTTATAAAACCTTGGAAACAATGGTGAGATATTTATGGCTAGTTTTCTTCCTTTTGCTGAAACTAAAGAATATAGAAACAAGAAATCAATTGTATGTGTATGCCATTTTTCAAGTGATTCTGGAAGTAAGAAACTGCTTTATAAAAGTTCCACCCAACATCTTATAAATTTTGGTTACATAAAAGACACTAGAAAATTGATGAATTTATAAGTAAAAAATAGCGAGGACTTCGAAATGTTCCACTGCCAATTCAGTCCTGCAGTAAACACAGACCATGGGCTTAATCAGTCAGCTCTGATGACTCAGAATAAACGACACGTTATAAAAATAATAGAACGGACAGATAACATTCCATACATATATTTCAGTAACATTCTGGTTATCCTCGAGCAGAATGAGACTCTAATAATGTTTTCTCAGAATCGAATGCTAACCTTCAAGAGGTTAATTTGTGCCCAAACAAAGACATAGAAACAGATATGCCCATAGTACTAATTCAGAAACCTTCTACATTTAGTTGAGGTCATTAGTAAGCTAGATAATCACCTAGAATTTGAATTGTATACTCTGATAAACTTATAATAACCATTTTCTTTTAAAATTAAGAAGGTTGAAAATACCGCTAGTAATCGAAAACTAAACTACATAACTTAATAGATATACGGGCAGGCGTAAAATAACACAGAAGAAATAGCGTCATTTTGATTTAGTGTAACAGGATGAGAAAAGCGATTACATTGCTACGTCAATTGAACACTTAACAAATACAAGACTAGTAATATACAGGAAAATCTATGGTTGAATAAGTTAAATAAATACAAACTTTCCTATTTAAGATTCTGGCGCACCATTACTTCGAGAAACAAAGTTATAATTGACAATTAAACAACCAATATTCTTAATAAGGCCCACAAATATTGTAGTAAAGCAAATGTTTTCCTAATGAATAATTCGATTCACTTGAACTACAGGTTATTAACTTCATACTATATAACTAACTGCCTTATTACTCACAGGTGAGTTATTATTAGAAGTTTTTGACATATATTTCAAGTACATTTTTGGAAAATACAGACTATTCACAAGTGAAAATAACCTACTGTATAACATACTGATAAAACAGATCACTCTAAGAAAAGCTAATCAAAATGTGTCGCTTCATGAAAATGTATATAGAAGTTAGCCATCTGGTAACAAATAACAGTCATAACCGTTTTCTTAATTGACATTCCCCTGAAGTGAAAATTATGAAACCAAATATTATACTTTGGAAGTAGACTAGAAGTAGAAAAGCTTAATTTTTTATAAAAACCTCACAATAATGCGAAGAACTTACAAGTTGACAGTAGATATGCTTTCTAAAAAGACTCGTAATACATTCATCCCAGCTTATTTATATCTCTTCATGTCTGATTTAAACATGTGATACTAACTTATTGATTTTTAGATAACAATTCAAGTTAAGAAAAAATTATTATTTATCAATCTTTGATTGATATTTTAACGTCCGGAACAAAAAGTATTTTTTTTATTTGTTCAAATACATTAAAATAAGTGTATACGAATATAGATTCAAGCTAAATTTAATTAGATTTGATTTCGCTAATAAAGCAGATAAGTATTAGGAATAGGTTGTAAATTTAACCTTAGTTGTTTCTCTAGTATGCTTAGGGAAAATATTGATGTTTTTTATTTGAAGATTGAATTGATGCACGAGTGATAAATCAAATGAATGCGTCATAAAACACGACTTGTGTAATTTTCGTATGAATAGTAACCGTTGTTTATGCAAGGTTTTTATTATATTGACCACTGTAAAGTGAAAATAATAACCTTCTATGATGTTTCGAATTATTTGAATTATAGTACGAAATAAGAGACCCAGAGATAACGCAATTGAATTAAGAAGTAAGACACAAGCACAAGCGAATGTACTGTATTTGGAATTCGAAATCGTGCAATCAACAAATACAAAAGTATCATTAGTTCGTTCAAACACCACATCCGCCACAGCTTAAATTGGAGTCTAGGTGTTTGTAATCAATCGTACGTCTACTTCTCAAATTCATCCTCAGTCTGTCTGACATTGTATTGGAAAAGGATTCTGTATTATCTAGAATGTGCTCATTAGCATTAGAATTAACAACGGAAATTGGAACAGACTCACCTGGTTCCTGAAATTGTATTTGATCAACATGTCGACTATGTGTACTTAAGTCATTGATGTCTGGAATTCGCACCATCGATTTTCCGACATTCTTCAGAACAATACCCGTAGAAGGTCGAAGATCATTTCCCCGATAGTATGTAACTTCTGCAGACTCCAAACATCTCATATTCGACCGAAGAATTCTTCCTTTCAATAGCTTCGCTGGAGTCTCCTTCGTCACCGAATGTTTGGCATTTCTATATTGCAATAGAAAGGTATCTACTCCCCTCTCCAGCTCATTAAATGTTGAGGCGGCTATGGAATCAATAGCAGTCTTTAATGTCCTGACGAAATTCTCTGCCTGACCATTAGAACACGGATGTTTGGGAGCAGTAAACAGATGTTTGCATCCTATACCGTTCAACCAGGTAGTGACTGCATCTGCAGCAAAGTGAGAGCCATTATCAGTCACTAACACCATGGGAACTCCTTCTCGACTAAACACCTTTCTTAACTACACGAGAATAGGAATCACTGTCAAATGAACGCAAGTTTGATTGACCCTGAGATTGTAGTTCATCATGACGACTAAGCAAAGTATTAGAAATCTTCATCAACTGGATATCAAGTTCATTTACTGCTTCGTAGTTAATACATGCAGTTCTAGCATCTTGAAAGGAATAGTTTGGCATTCTTAACAGCTCTCTTTCCAAACTCGGTTTGTTAGTTCCTGCAATTAGTCGATCTCTCAGATGCACATGAAGTTGATCACCGAAATTACACTTGGCAGCTTGTTTCTGCAATTCAAGGATGAATTCCCGAACTTTTTGGTCATTTTGATGAACCATCTAATGAAACTTCGCCCTTTCACGGCATTCAAAACTGGTGCACTTTACATGATTTAATAATAGCTCCTTAAGGATTGCATTAGGAAGTGAGATAGGTTTTTCTGGATATGTCAAAGTTTTTAATAAGCTGTACGCTTCTTTCCCAATGAATGTCAGGAAATGTGCCACAATTTTATCACCTTTAAGATCTTTCTTAGTCTGGCTCCAGATTTCAAACCTTTCCAAATAATCCTCAAAAGCTTCTGAAGTTGAATGAATATCCAACTTTTCCATTGCAGGCTCCATCACGACGCCAGTATAATGTTTGAATTATTTGAATTATAGTACGAAATAAGAGACCCAGAGATAACGCAATTGAATTAAGAAGTAAGACACAAGCACAAGCGAATGTACTGTATTTGGAATTCGAAATCGTGCAGTCAACAAATACAAAAGTATTATCAGTTCGTTCAAACAGCACACCTTCATACTATGGGTAGTTGTTATTTGAAATAATCAAAGTTTATCAATCGAATAAAATTATAACTGTTTAACGTGTAGGCGAGTTCCCACTGATGTTTAGTTGGTTAATTATAGAAACTTGTCCAATTATTTAATGAGTAGCTTCACTTTCAAACTTGCTTGACAGATTCTCCAGAGGTTCAAGTAATTCTTCATGTTTCTTTCTTCACTAAGGCCTTCAATAATGTTTTCTCAAATGTTTTCTCATATCCGATGGACGAATTTAGTAATCTTAATTTTACTGACGTTACTGAGATCGATGTATAGTTTCCAACTCGACCTATATATTCAGAAGAAAAATGTGGTTTTTTGGTCTGTCTTATTCTTCTGATTTTCGTCTTACAAAATTCTGTTAATGGATAATTACTAATTTTTTGGTCACGTTTGGTATCATCATGTAATCATTTATTAATTTCGTTACCCTTACATAATCGCCTTCTATCCTCATTGAGATTACTAATAGCCATAACACATATTATACTCTGCGTCAAAAAGTTTTAACATACGAATCCGCGTCACAGATTTTGTTTTGTCCTTCTGACTGACTTTTTGTTTTAGTTTCCAATATTCATCGAAACTACAGTCAACCACGTTAGACCATTGTTCATAACATACAATATTAGTTATTACTTTACGCTATTTGGAGCTGATGAGTAGTCATTTAATAGAATAAACATAGATTTTATCTGAAAACCTTGTTATTCTTGCGCTGCCTAATCTCATAAAGGGAATTGGTTGCATGGAAACTAGAAAAATGATTAATTTCCTTCAGAAACTTCATTTGTTAATACCTATAACGAGTATATGTAGTATCTAACATGAGGACAAAAAGGGCTGGATGCTCTTCATTTCTACAAATTACTCAATTCCATAATTTCAGAAGTGGAACATAAACAGGCTTCTTTGCAAAACCAGTCTTACTCATCATCATGGTTAGACCAGAGGAACTGTGGATTTTTCAGCCTTGTCACTTGGACAGTTGAGTTAATCGAAAATTTGGCAAAAATTTTCACATAATCAGAACTTTTTAAACGATTAATAACAGCAAATATAAAGTGAAGCATGTATATAAACATATGCCATCTGAGTAGAGATAAACGTTTCCGAAAACTATTACAAAGTTGTTCAATTCACCATAAAAATGTCAGTTTGTTTCTTTGCTAGGTCACATATGATCGTTTTTCATATTCTCACCAGGCTTTTTCAAGGCTGAATGGATTCGTTGCTCTAATCACCCACCTTAAGTGCATTCTTGTCTGTCCCTCACTCCAATGACCTAGAAACCGAATAACGATTGGTTAATAAGATAATGCGTGATGGAGAGAACAATTAATAGTTTGAATAGCCGAACACAATGTACTAGATTAGCTAATAGGGTACAGCAATCTACCAACAAATAAGGTATTTTACATAGAAAAAAGAAAATCCATCAAATGTGTTAATGCCAGAATGGATTTATGACACTTCAGAATATGGCAGATTCAGTGAGTGAATAATTCTTTTAAGTATTAAATTTTAACTACAATGGGTATTTTGTTTAGAACGTTTACTTGACTGTTCTCTTTTATTGAATGGTAATCGTAAACTGTACTATCCTATTAATATTATACGTATTATGACGCATTATTACTATTAACATTTATGCTTTTTCTCAGAACAAACTTATTACCTTTGTCTATGGCACTATTTCGTCAAACAAACTAACATCATTTAGTTTATGTACATTAATTTGCGTGCTAAACATAACAGTAAATCCATAATAGTTGAGTAGGATAGGTTGCTTATTCATATCAACCATGTGAGCTGGTTCGTAGGTAAGGATCAAAGAGCTTATCGATCGATGCTGCTAGTGGCTCTCACAAAATGACGATTAATAACCTACAATTGTCTTTTTTTCAACAAGTTACATTGAATACCTTTCTATCCAAACAGTTGATTAAACTTAACTTAGATTTCATTTATGACATTTTGTAAATCAAATCACCTATTCTTAATGCTAATACCATTAATGCATATGGATCTTTGTTGCCAGATAGGATTGAAAGTCTCACTAAAAGGCTTTTGATAATCTTAAACCTCTGTTTCATTTAGTTTCTTACTCTTATCCATGAAATATTTGCAAAACCTTTGTAGCTTAGTGGTTATGTTAATCGAACGTCTATGATGACCCCAGCCCATATATAGACAATGAAATTCATTGCTCGCTCATCCGTTTATTGCGTTTGATGTCTAAATCGTTGACATCTATTAAGTATGTCGTATGACTAAAGACCTAAAAACTTGATGCTTTCAAACTGTACAGTAACTTTCAGTTTATTTCCTAAACTCTTTTACACAAGATATATCCCTATATCTTGTGAAATTCATATATTTTGGTTGGACAAAATATTTGTTGAACTAGCATAAATCTAACAATTATATTGCTTCCAGCATTGATACTTAACATAACGGAATTTAACTGGATAATATTTTTAAATGGATTAGTAAAAATCGTTTCTATACATTATGAATAATTATCACTGGTTAAAAGAATAATTCAAATCCATGAAAAAATATGCATTCGCCATCGACTGTAGTTTATTATATGATATAATATAATTTGTCAATATAACAGCGGGTCACTTAAAACTTTCCATTAGTAAACCATTTAATTCAGTCTACCAGTAATGCTCTTAATTCAATCTTTCGAGTTAAAACGAAGATCCATCTCATGCATATTATCGAAGTATACGAACTAGTTAAAATTGAGGAACGATCCGTTTCAGTGTGCGTGCATTGACTCACCTTAGTTTGGAAAAATAAATAAAAAGTTAACCTTAGATCTAAGCTTTTATTTATTTTGTGAACATTTTATACGATTAGCATCTATTTATCAAAGTCATTGTCTGTTAAACAGAGCCGTGCAATTAGGTGGAGAATCCCTGGTTAGGGCTTGCATGACTATCGTAACCAGTGATTGCGGACGTCGGGTGGCAAGGACCGAAGTCGGCGAGATGACGTAGATACTCTCATTCTTTGTCTTCCCTGAGATTTTGATACTTTCTTCGTTTAATACGAAATCTTTTCTACTATTACAGATACTGTTATTATTTATACTATCGTGGGATTCGCCTTGATAATTTCAGCCCTCTGAATTAATATGGTGTGGCAAATAAAGCTGATGCACGAATGTGCCATGTTCTACGTTTCATATGACACACTAATATCGTTAGAATCTCTCTCCGGGGTTATAGAAGTTCGAAATGTCCCATAGCTATCTCAAAATATTTCATTTCGAATCGAAAACACAATTACAGTTATGGGTGCCATTATTTGTAATGAAAAAACTGCGGTTAATCGTTGTTAAAAGCATTAAGAATCACACACTAATATATATACAGTGATGTGGGTTGACCAATTAGTTACATGGCTTATTCAAACTGAAAGTTATCAAGAGATCACTAATCTTAAAATAGTTTTTATTATATTTAGCTTTTGATATGTGGCCATTGAGAGCAGTGGATTATGAGTTATTTGTTTTATCCTAGTTGAGGATATCTCGACGGTACATGCTATCAATCAACAAATGGGTTGAATCTATAATTAAGATTTTTTTAATTCTAAGAATATTTCTGTGAGATCATAGAAACAAAATATGAGTTAATTGAAGTGGGTCGAAGATTTTTAGAATGAATCAATCCGAAACTAAACGAGTTTTATTATCTGCTTTTAATAAACTCAATTAAAGCTCTAAGCCATAGAAGTTTCCCAAAGCTCAAAAACCATGTTGATTGTACTCAAAACCTAATATGTAAACACTGCAGGGGATAAGTTCCAAGTCGTGAACTTAGATTGCTTTCCCATTAGTACTTATGAGCGTGTAATATCCACTGTTCCTTGGACCCATGCCTCCATTATTTAACGCTACAATCTTGTTTTATGTAAACAACAATCGATTTAGGCCATAGACTACTAATAACTATATTAGGACAGATTAATCACTGAGAACAATACATTATCAAAATTCCGTCATCATGTTAACAAACTTCTCAGGCACACCCTTCTTCAGCAGACAATCCCAGAGACAGTCCTGTCCAGCGTACCGAAAGCGGCCATAATCTCAAGAGACACTACGATTGTTGGCTTGTGATAAGTATTAGCGGTGTCCTAACATTTGATGGAGGGTGAAGATATGATCAATGCATCCTCGACCAGAACGAAAACCAACCTGCTCCTCACGAGTCAATCATTCTCGGGTTTTGAAAAATCTACGAAGCCTGACGGAAGCCAATAGTATGGACGCTTTCAAAAGTAGACTTATCCCATGATAGTTGTTACAAAAAGACGTGAACCCTTTCTAAAGACAGGGACAATTATCTACTCATTCCATGATATTGAAACACTCTAACTGTCAGACCTTTGTAAACAACTAAGTCAGTTCCTTAGCCAGAAATTCACAGTCATCTTAAAAAAGGATCGAAGATAAGTCATCTGAACCTGGTGATTTGTGGCGTTCAGAAATTGGAGCTTCTTGCGGACTTCCGTCTCGTTAGGTGGATCAGTCATCACAGGCCACTGAGGGTAGGGCAGTCTGATATATGTTGCTGGTGAAGCAGACCAGTTGAACTGCTCCTCGAAAAACTCTGCCCATCATACAAGACATCGATAGATGTTAGTAACAGCCGTCATCTTCACAGATTGTTTCGCTCACACCGGATTCCTCGCTGCCAGTGACTCGGATGAGTTGAACGGGCTTCCGACAGTTACCAGATCCAGCTGTTGCTTCCAGCTCATTGGCACACTCCGACCACTAGGCTTCTCGATCCGTACGCAAGCTTTGCCCAATTTCATTGCGTAACAGTCGTCGTTTGTGGTCATACTCGCGGCCACTCGTAACAGACTGGCGGGCTCCAGTGGGTTGTAATGAACCTGAAGAAACCCAGTGCTTAAGAGCGAGACATTTCGCGAAGCCGCAAGCGACTTTGCTCGTCATTTTCATGACGTCATGTAATTGGAACCAATGCTCGTCTATACTTTTCGGTAGGCAGACATCTAGCCTTGAGCCAACCTCATTTTTATATTTAGTTGCAACAGAAGCTGCTAACAATTTACTGATATCGATCCATTTACGGCGATAAATTTGTTGGCCACCGAAACATGAGGTATGATTAGCGCAAACAACGGCATGGTCAGAGTCCGGATAGCTACTCCGAAAGGGGCGGCAGTCTTGTACACAACCACGCCAGTAGTAGCCTGTCGCGACGTGATCAATCTGAGTTCAGGTTTGAGATGCAGAGGGGGGACAGCAGGTCGCAAATTGGCGATGACTGTGCCGATAGTTATTGCTAGCCAGAAACAGGTTGTAGTCTGCACTATGTTGCAGTAGACGGTCACCGTTATCTGACCTGCAATCAACAAGTTCCCATCAGCCAACTAAACGACTCTCTTCTGTGTCTAGACGCTCGACCTGAGTATTCAGGTCTCCGGCTAGTACCACAATATCTTTCGAACGCACTTTCTATGGAAGAACAATTCACTGGTGGTAGAACTCATCCTTGATCGCATCCGAGCTGCAATTCGCTGGGGCGTAGGCGATGACAAAAAGACATAGTTTCTCACACCGATTTCTTCGCACTATGATGGAGCTTTCTAATCTAACAGCACATAACCGACTGTTAATAAGGATCCAATCGGTCAGTGCTGTTTCAGTGCATAGTGCGGCACCAACGCCAGCAAAACCAGACGAAGATGCCACCGTGTCCCCAGATAAACGCATGTGATACAAGCATTTCGAAGCGACAGATGGAGAGCGAATTTGTAGTCCTTATTTGGGTCTTGGAAACGGATCTCGAATAGACAACGAACTTCGATGTTGAGACTTTCTAAAGACATAACCAACCCTATCTTTTGTCCGATCTGCATTAGTGTGCGGACATTGGAGGTAAGTTCGGATTGTATAAGAGGTTTCAGAAGGAATGTTTCAGTATTCGTATTCGGTTGTAGCATTCAACTTTCGACTTATTAGTGACCCGACATCGTTTTAAGGGAATAGGGTTTCCAACATAGGCGAGCTACTGTATAGGTTGAAAAATAAAATACGTAAAATGAGAATATAGGGGAATACATAAATGACGTAGTATAAAAGAAATAAAAACGAATGTTGTTAAATGATTGTGAGTGGGATTTGTCTGAATGCGGGTTGAAGCAAGAATGGTTTTTTCAGTATTAATCATCATTTGGTTTGTGTGAGGTCTGTAATACTGCACGGGTGCCAAAACTGAAGCAGGTGGTTTTCTTAGGGGGCCGCACCTGGAGCATTTAACCAGAAGGTCTAATCCACAAGTTAGTGTAGTGACGTTAGGAGATACAGTCGCACGGTAGCCGGTGACCAACAATAAGTCCATACGCCATTTATTCCTTCCAAATCCTGAGGCCTATGTGCACCATTGGTTTAGAATCAGGGTTTTCTAGATCCCCTAAGTGGACCCTCTGTGTCGACTGACCC